ATGATATTTCTATCGTTTGAAAAAATGAATGTTCATGTGAATTTAACGACTTGGAAAAACATGACTTTTTATCATTTCTTAATAAGGGAGTTGCGAGTTGCAGAATGAATGACGTTAGCAGCGTCGTAGGAGGAAAGTTGAATTGAACATTCTCTTGTCTAATTAGAACCCAAAAATTGACTGAAATCGCAGTTTAAAAGCACCTTCACTTGATGAAAAATTAAAGACCAAACTTGAATACTCTGATAAAAAAAACTTCAGATAATTTCCAAAGAGAAGGAACTAAAGATGGCAAATCCTGCTTCTTCAGCCCAAATCCCAGAGGTAGTGCTTGGCTCCTCCACTGGCCCCAAGAGCATGCCTGTGATTGCCTTTGGCACAGCAGCTAATAACTTACAGCCTATTCAGTTGAAAACAGCAGTTCTTGAGGCCATCAAGCTTGGTTACAGGCACTTTGATACAGCTGCCGTTTATGGCTCAGAGCAGCCTCTGGGTGAAGCTATCAAAGAAGCACTTAAGCTTGGCCTTGTTGCTTCCAGAGACCAACTCTTCATCACTTCAAAGCTATGGAGCAATGATGCTCACCCACATCTTGTCATTCCTTCCCTCAAGAAATCACTTGAGTGAGTCTCACAATCTAATTTGGTTTTTCATTTTTTCTTTTCTTTTCTTTCAAGCAATTGGAATTTTTGGGTGAGTGGTTTTGTTTGATCATATAATTTTGTGTGCAGGAATCTTCAATTGGAGTACCTTGACCTGTATCTCATCCACTGGCCCATCAGTGCCAAGCCAGGAAAATTTGTGTTCCCACTAGTTGACGTTGTGCCAATGGACTTCAAGGGTGTGTGGGCAGCCATGGAAGAATCTCAGAAACTTGGCCTCACCAAATCAATTGGAGTCAGCAATTTCACTTGCAAAAAGATTGAAACTTTACTCTCTCATGCTACCATTCCTCCCTCAGTCAATCAAGTAAGTTTATTTTCTTTCTATATATACATATATGCATGGTTTGGTTTTTTTTCTTTTTTAAATTTATAAAAATGAACAACCTTTCATTAATTTTGGAGTCTATGTGTAAATATAGGTGGAGATGAGCCCATTCTGGCAACAGAAGAAGCTAAGAGACTTCTGCAAGGCCAATGGTATAGTTGTGACTGCCTTCTCTCCTTTGGGTGCCAAGGGAACCAGCTGGGGATCCAATCATGTTATGGACAGCAAAGTGCTTCAGGATATAGCAGAGGCTCGGGGAAAAACAGTTGCTCAGGTTCTGTCACATTTGTATTGTTTATTTTCTTGAGAATCTTTCTGTCACAATAATTGCTATATATTATATTTCAGTCAAAATTAGGAGCAGAACCCATTAATTATTTTCAAGTATAACAAACAACTTGTGACTCAGTGTGTTGGTACTTAAACTTGGGCAGGTTTGTATTAGATGGGTGTACCAGGCAGGGGCAACTCTTGCTGTTAAGAGCTACAACAAGGAGAGGTTGAAGCAGAATCTGCAGGTG